TACTGGGGCGTTACCGAAGTGTTTGTCGTTTTCGGTACTGGCCCAGTATTAAAAAAGCTGTATTACTACCCTGGTGAAAATTGAAATTGAAGAGTAAATAAAGTGTAAACGAAGAGTGACGGAAGTGTAAGTGAAGCGCTTACAAAGCGTAAATTGAAATATCGGAATATAAAGCAAGCGGGTACGCTATCAACTTGAATCTTATTTGACTTGATAGCGCTATCAATTTGAATCGTTTTCTTTAAGCAGTATCGTTCTCATTTGCAAGTTCAGATATAAATCTTATCTATATAAATTTTATCTGGTTATATCTGATTTTATATTCTATAGGCAACTAATGATAGAAATTCTATCACTATCTATTGTATTTTATTGTATACGATATAGTATACAATATAGATATTGTATACTATTCACATTTTGTAAATTCACGAACCAAAATCCATATTCAAAATGATAGAAAATGATTATTTTATTCTATCGTTCTCTATAAACTTTTTTACCAGGATATCCAAGTAAGAATCGTACACAATCTGCCAATAGAGGGTATTATTGGGCCAGTATTGTGCCGGTACCGAAAAACGGACGATACCAATGTCCTTTATGAGAAAACCGAAGAGGTCACTAACGCGAAATCTAGGATAGCTCAGTAGTAAGAATGCTTGCCTGACAAGCGAAAAACTCGAGTTCGATTCCAGTCGTCGCCTCGAAGATTTTTTCCTTATATGACTATTAAAATAAACCTGTATAGGCACGAGAGGGGGTAGTCCCGGCCATAGTCTGATCTTTCTTTCCATACTATATAGTTATTGCTATATAGTTACTATATACTATATTAGCAATTGTACAAATAATAGAAATTGATACGGGAATCTGAAATTGATCTAGGAATTGACACGGGTCCGGTATTGGGAAATCGGTATTTCCCCAGTGCTAGGAATCAATACTTTTTTTATATTAGTACATTACTGATTTTCAGTACTGTAATAGTACTGTTTTCCAATATTGGCCTTTTTCTATCATCCCAGTATCACACCAATACTAAATCTGTACTGACATCTGGTACATGCCAGTAACGTTTACCATAAATCGGTACTGGACCACTTTGATGCCAGTAGTAAATTCCTATTTGGGAAGTCTCTCGTATACAGGCAAAAATATAGATTTTAGAAAAATTGCTATTCTAGGCATAAGCCGCACACACTAACACAAGACGATACGCAACAATGCGCGCATATACGTGAAATTTGTTGTTTATATTCGCGCACAACCTTACGTAAGGGTCTTTGCTAATCTTTCTAGAGTTTTTATTTTTAGTATATGATAAACTCATCAGTTTAGTGTAAGGAGAAAGATTTTAACAATATTTTAAAATACTTAAAATTTAAAGAGAACAACCTTTTCTCTGATGTATTAAATATATATTTTTCAACATAACGGAAAAAGTATTGCATTTATGTGAATAATGTATATGACTTTTCTTGTAGAGTGTTTCACAAGCTTTATTTTTTGTCTGAGACATTTTTCTCCCAAATCAATATTTTCGAAGATACAGTAGGAAAACAGTTTCAACTTTTAGCGAGGGTAGCGGGTGAATGAGGTTTTGTCGCAAAAAATTTTTTAAAAGTTTTCATTTTGGAGCTAAGGAAAAGCTTTCCTAAAAAATTCAGCCTAATCGGAGGTTTTCGGAACTGTATTTCCTGATCGTCGGGTTAAATACGACTCGTGCAAGTTTTTTTCCTCTTTATATTATTAGAGATCTATGAAAATAGAAAGAGAGAAAAATAAAAGGAAGAAAAGAGTAGAAACTTTTGTAACAGTAACAAAAATTATATGTTGCGTTCATATTTTTTTTGGATGAAAATTGTGGTCTTATTTTCCTTCAAATTTGCATAAGAAAAGATATCGATGCTAGAATATTTCTTTTATGTTATACGCGCATTGTTCGGAAATATCATACTTTAAATAACTCTTACGATAATTTTCAACTAGAGAATTGTAAGCATAATATATAATTTTTATATTACTGTTATAAAAATTTTTATTCTTTCCTTCCTTTTATTTCTCTCTTTTTTATATTTATACATCTCTAATAATATAAAAGGAATAAATACTTGTATGAGCCGGATTTGGAACAGATGAACAGGAGATTTGTAGCAAGATGATTTACCTACTGCGCTACGCTTACACTCTTGTAATTACTGGTAATACTATGTACGATATACTGGTAATACTATGTAAGATAATACTATATACGGATATGCAGTGGAACAATCTACTTATGATTGTTTATAACTCGGTCGCTAGGATTCATTCAGAAAAACGGCTTTATAGGTATTGAGTTGGGTAAGTTATTTTTGGTTTTTAACTGAGTTAAGTTAAAAGCTAACTCGCTATAAAATAATTGTGTTTACGTTAAAAGTCAAATAAAATACTAACTCAGTTAAAAGTTAAAAAGTTAAAAAGAAGTTAGAAGTTACTTATGGAAAACTTAACTATCTAAAACTATATATGTTTGTATTTTTTTTTATTACATAAATAGTCTTTAAATTTAGCTTAAATTTATGTGAAATAATGAAAGTATATTAAACAAATTGACCAATCGCAGTGAATTATTTTTTGTTCGCAAAGAGAATAGTCGATTGTGATTTGTCAATTTCCTTGCTGCTTACGTCTTACTGTTTAACCCATGTGCATAATTTTGTACAACAACTTTGAAGCCTTGTAAAGTTATTATTTTTTGTGAATTATTGCTCTGCGATCTTTGGGTGGACTTAGTAACTAATTCTTGTCGGTTTTAAATAAAAAAAAGTAGTACTATCTGTGATGAAAAGTTATCAGTAACGGAGATTCATATTAGTATTAACTTATATTCATAACGTGAGTGAAAATGGCAATAGATAAGCACTTTTTAATTTCTATTTGAATTAGTTTTATTGCAGTTTTAAAAGTAAGATATCTTTATAATTACTTAATAATAATTACTTAAAATAATAATAACACTTTTACTTAAAATAATATTACTATTACTTAAAATAATATTAATAATAATTACTAAATAATAATTACTTAATGTAATCAAATATTTTGTTTCTGCAAAAATGTAAACGCTGATTTTATTAAATATGTACACTTGAGACTCAATGTAAATAATTGTGCCCATACTGGAAAATTCGATAAATATTGATTTTTTAAATATTTTTATTAAATCTTTATTACTAATAACCAATATGTAAATATTTTTTATATTATGAGAAATAAATCGGTTCTGAAGGGGTTAAGTTTTTCTATGTGTCACTAGCTACAATGTGTCCCGATCTACAATAGGTGTAGCAAGCTCTACCCTTAGAAATATCATACTAAGAATCATTGATAATTACTTATTATCCAGTATTTTTAATACTGAAAATAAGTAATTATCAATGATTCTTAGTATGATATTTCTATAAGGATAAGCCGTAAGAAATTGATTAATCATAGTCGACTTATAGAAGAATAATCAATTGTGATTGATCAATTGTTTACAGCTTAAAGTTTACTACCTATTGTAGATTGAGTCTTATGGGTCGTCTACAATAACAGTAGTAGTAGTAAGAAATAAGCAGTAAGGAAATTGACTTATTCCATTCTTATGATTTAAGAATAATCGATTGTAATTGGTCTATTTGTTTACTACTTATTTTTTACTACTACTCCTACTGTCATTGTACCTTTACGAAAAAATACGAAAAAACTCTCAATTTTGGGTGTAAACACCCAAAAGCTGGGGATAAACACCTAAATTTGAGTGTTAACACCTAAAATTGAGGGTTTCTTCGTATTTTTTTCGTAAGGGTAGACAACGCATGGAAGCTTCATTCTATCTTTTTTTGGCATATAATGAACAATAAAGATAGAATAACGCTTATAGTGCTATAGACGTGAATCGGACCACAGCCATAGTTAGATCTTTTATTAAAAATTATTTCAAGTTCATTTTCAGATACTTCGTAGCCAATGAAACGATTTGTTCAATATCTAAGAATAAATTTTAAACGATCATAAATATATATAAGATTTGGTTATGAATAATTATGAATTGGCTTTTATATATTTATCTGTTAAAGATGATTTTTACACAAATTTAATATTGATGAAATAAATTAACTAAAAAAAATAAAAAAAGTAAAAGTTAATGCGTAAAATTAACTGAGTTTAAGTTAAAAGTTAACTTATTTAAGCTTAATTAAGTTGAGTTAAAAGTTATTCACTTTTTAACTTCTAACTTAGTTTTTAACTTTTTCTTAAGTTTCTATCCAACTCTGAGTATTGAATATATAATATCAATTCCTATAAGTTTCATCAATTGATGATAAGTAAAGTGTAACCTCCCCTTGTTAATTATTATCGAAATTCGTTTATATTAGAAAATCTGAGTACATATGTCTTATGAGCATTTACTTTTATGTACTCTTTTTTCTTCAAATGACCTATGAAGTGGATTTTTCTTGCGCTTTTTTCTTTTTATTGTATTTTCTCTTTTTAACATCCAACAAACGCTTTTTGCATCGTGCCGAAATAACAAACCTACCGACACCTCTACTTTTCCATGAACAGCGATCTTATTACTTCAAATATAGGTTTTCGGGCTACTTTTAAAATTTCACGATAAACTGAGACGCAGTAGCGTAATTCTGACACTATGTTCGTGTTTAGAGACCCAAAAAACATAAGAATAATCTAGGCACATTCCCAGCCTTTCGCGATATTCTTATTACTTCAAATATGGGTTTTTGAATTATTTTTTGAGTTTACTCAAAACTGATACTTTGAAACTCAATGTTAATATCAGATTCGTGTTCAGCGACCCAAAAAACATTAAGATAGCCCAGTCACATTTCCAGCCCAGACAACTTTTTTTTGGATCTGTGTTATTAAAGTTACATGCAATGTGAACAAAATTTTATTAATATAAGAATGTCGAAAATTATAATGCTAATTATATTAATATTTATGTTTAGGGTGACCATGGCAGCGCTCTAATCTATAAAGGCAAACTTGTTGGTTTGAGTACTTATGGAATTTCGTGCGAAAATCCTTTGATACCGGACATCCATACCAATGTAAATAAAATGCGTGAATATCTTAAGGAGATCTCATAAAAATGTACTCAATTCTTATACCACTTTGCAATTCTTAATTAATTTGTATCTTTAATAAGAAGCTTATGTATACAAAGATGATTAATGTTTGTAAACAAAGTAAAAAAATGCTAAATTGTATTACAGAAGTATATAAAACAAGTCCGTAAATTATATTTATACATCGTGCAATATCAGTTCGTAATGATAATGATGATTAAAGTTAACTTATTATTAAAAATTAACTTGCATGATGTAACTAATTTTTTGAAAATATGTGTAAAAATAGTTATGATAACATTTCACATATTATACATGTGATTATATATTTGTTAGAAGATGAAAAACATATTACATGCATAATATATAAGATTGTTTAAAATATTACATTTATCAAATATTTTAATATGAAATAAATTATTAAGCAAGCTGTACAATTATGTAATATTACGAACTTTTATCCTCTTTTTCTTTTCTTACTTAAAAAATTAATTTTATAAATTTTTAATATTTTATTAATATTGATATTGTTACGTCCTGGAGGAGAATGCAACAAAATAATTGCTTATAATAAGCTTCGTCTGCACATGCAGGTCGAAGAGCAGATCAGTGGCCAGAAAAGTCGCTTTACATGCGCAACGACGTACAGCGAATGATTCTTTTTAGGTTAGGTACGCGAATCCCTTTACCATGGGTAGCATATAGAGCGAATAACAGGAAGGAAAGGAGTGGAGGAAAACGAAATTTAGAGTTAAATCCCATACAGCACGTAATATTGCAGAAATATTGCAGTGATATTGCAATATAGTGGTAATATTACATATCACAGTGAAATATTACAGAAATATTACTGAAATATTGCACCTTTACATATGTCATTGAAATATTACAGAAATATTACTGCAGTATTACATACTTATATAATTGAAATATTACACATTTATATCATTGAAATATTACACTTATATATTTGCAATATAGTTAAATTATAGCAATATATCATATTCTAAATAGAATGGTGACATCAATTGACATATCAATTTTTTTGACATTATAGACATCACTAAAACGCTATTACGGCGTCATTTAAAGTCACCTTCCCTTACAGAAATAGTATTTTTTAAAAGTTTCTTTTAAAATTTAGTATTTCGATTTGTTTAATTTGGATTTTCTTGGATTTTAAAATTTTTTTTTGTTTGCATTAATCATTATAACATTTTGTTAAAAATCTAAAAGTAATTATCACTGGTTCACTACATTACATCAATATTTATCGCATATTGAATGTTGTTGCATTGTTTCAATATCTATCAGCAAATTATCCAACAAACACTAAGTAAAAATTATATAACTATTATTTGATGTTTGCTAAGTATATTATAATGTACTGTGAACACTACCTATAAGGATACATTATATAAGCATGAATTGTAAGAACATCGTTGGAGTCATCAGAGTCACCGCGTGCGCGCTCGATCGTCAGGTTAAGCAACAGTTTAATGCGGTCAGGACATGGATGGGGTGACCAGTGGGGGTATACTGCTTGGGATCGAAAATTATCGCTGGAGGATTTCATGAAAGTTTGGAGTGTATTATTTGACAACCTTCGATACGTAGTAGTTTATGAAACATGAGAAAACTAGGAATATATAAATATATTTTTTTAAATATTATGATTTTCTCACAGTCAATATCATTGTGATTTTCACCATTATATTACTGTGATGCATTTATCGCGGATATTTTAATATTACTGTGATATCTTAGTAATATTCCAGCATTATTTCTGTTATATTCCCTGGTAATATTGCAATGAAAATATAATATTGCTATGATATTTCTGCGATATTACGTACTGTGTGGGATTAATTAATTAATAACAACTAATTTATTTATCATGACTCGTGTTACAATTCGAAGATTACAATAGCAAAAATTGTGGATGACGAGTGTCGTCCGTTATTGCGATGGCCAAAATCAATGAGTTAAAGTTCAAATTGCTTTCTCACGCACCCTATTCACCAGATTTAGCCCCCTCAGATTATTATCTATTTCCAAACTTGAAAAAATGGCTTGGTGGTAAAAGATTTGCTAACAATGAAGAGGTGGAGTCTGCGGTTGATGGCTATTTTGAGGAACTCGATGGTTTTCACTATAAACATGGTATTGAAGCTATTGAACATCGCTAGGAAAAGTGTATCGAGCTAAAAGGGGACTATGTTGAGAAATAAAGATATATTTTTTCAAAATTTTTGTGTTTTCTTTGTTAGGCCGGGTACTTCTGGGACTACCCTCGTATGTTTATATATGTATGCATGCAGAGAGAGTTCGAAGTGTATTGTCTAAGGAGGGATGGATAGTGATGGAGAGGTAGAGCTAGACGGTGAATCTAGCACGAGCAAAGAATGCTTGTAAAAATCGAAAGAATTACCGATCCCGAGGAGACAAATATCAAACTCACTTTGGAATTATTACAACGAAATGATCAAAGAACACAGCAGTATGGATAACGAGAACAGAATGTACACTCACAAGTAACGCTACCCAAGTGTCATACGCCGATTTTCCTGAGACTGTGCATACGTGTAGTACATTGAAAAATATCTGACACGTATTTTTTTATATCTGCCCAAAAGCCGTTTTAAGGGTAGAAAACGCCCTTATGAATATATAGGGGTGAATTCCAGTATTTCACGAAGTACTCGTACGTTTGTTACAGAATGGGGTATACGGTGATTTTCAAAGTTGCTGAATCTAAATCTGCTCCCAATTTTTGAGAATTCAATATGGTGGAACCAATATGGCGGATCTGATTTTTTTAAAAAGAAGACAGCAAGACATTGTCGCTCTCTGCCAAACCCGGGAATAACCAACGTGGAGGTGGCGACAAACTATTCCCTTTTTTTT